CAGACACACTGCTAAGCTAAAGGAAATTGTCCTCTATTTATATAAAATGAAAAATATAAAGTTATCAAAGATATAAAGGAAATAAATATAATAAATAAAATATATAAAATAAATAAAATATAATAAAAATATGAGATAAGTAAGATAAAATAAATAAAAGAAATATATTGTATAAAAGAAATATATGTTATAGACGACATAGGTGACATAGAAGACATATATGATTTCTTAGGAATCAACGTCATCCTTTAGATCATCATCGTCCATGTCTTCTTTTGTGTAACAATATTCGTTTAGATATAATTGATTTTTATTAAATTCTATTAAATATCTATTTTCTTTTTCTTTCAAATTTTATACTGCTGACAAATTTTTCGCACTTTATGCATTTACGTATATCTATCTTCTGATCTCTCAGCTTCTGTGAAAATTATAAATAAAAAATGAGTAATTTTGGATATACAATAACTTGACTCAACAAATTAATACAGTATAATACTCACCTTGTCTTTTCTACTTGCACATTTTTAACTTTTAAAAGGTTAATGTTTTTTTCTTTAAATGCTCTTTCTAATGTGACTGAAGATATCATTTTAGTTTGTGAATTTTATGTTACGTATTACGTGTAAAAAAGTGAAGTTCAAGTGGATAAATTTATTGTTCAGTTCTGTTAAATTATGCTAGTCATAACAAAATAAGATATTTTATACAATTAGTAGTTGTGTAATAAAAGAAATATGGTTTTTATTTATTTAAAAATTATATGGACACTTTGCAGTAATAAGAGAGGAAACTACTACCAAAAAAATTTTTTTTGAGTTAAAAATTTTTTTAGTAGTTTCCTCCCTTTCTACTACAAAATGCTCATATATAGTTTTATAGGTAATACAAAAAGTTATAGAGTCAGGTCACTCAAATGAATGTATTATTTTCTATATTGAGTAGTTTATCTTATATTATGATGTTAACCTGCCCTAAACTAACAATTTGGTATGACAAACCACACTCAACATCATAATATGTGATATACTCTCCAATTATTTGATATTTATTTATGCAGTGTAATATAACCTAAACTCTTTATTTAGTATATTATAAATTAAAAATAGATATTTATGTAGTTTTTGCAAAGTTTCTAACAACTAGAGTATGTACAAAATAAATCTCTATAAACTTATTTTTATAATATAAATTAAGCTTCATTATATTTTGAAAAAAAGTTTAGTTATAGTAATATAACATATGAAAGAAATCATAATATTAAGTACAACAATAAGTTATACTATATAGTTATACAACATACTTTTTTAGTACTGTAAGAGTTCTTCAGAAAAAATTTGAAAATAAAATTGTAAACTCTTTTGTATCTTTATGATGATCAGATCACCTTGACAGATAATATTTAGATCTTGCAATTGCTATCTATAAGCTTGGGCTTAGTTTCACTTTTACTTTTAGTTATGATGTAAAAGGCCTATCTTCTTTAGCATTTGAATTTAAAATACAAGATATGGAGACAATAAAAGTGACTTTTCGAGAAGCTTCATCTAAGAATATTATTATACCTAATGTTAAAGGTATAAGTTAAATTTTATTTATTATTATTTCTCTCAACATATAATTTGATCTTATTATTTAAGTGTTTTCTAGTCATCTACTTTTCAAGTAAATATGTTCTCACAGAAATTAATAAACAATTGCTAAGATTACCAAATTTCAATGTTAACAATCTTAAGAAAATGTCAAATGAGTAATATTCTAACATTTATTGACAAACTGTACAATATCACTGAAAATTTAATTCAGTTAATAGAGACAAGTGAAGCTCATATTAATTTATTAGTAGATGATCTGCTCTGCATTACTAGATTTAATATTTAGCCCTTAAAAATTATGTTAGTATTAGAAAAATTCTTTAGATATGATGATTATATATTCTTAAAGTTTGCTTCTTTCAAACTAAAATTTATGAACTATATACAATATATATTGGTAATAAACATATCAAATCATCAAACATCAAATTTGTAATAAAGAAGTGAAGCATTTTTGTTCTTGTAGTAGAGGTTTGTATATTGTTGATCATTTAAAAAGTTTTGAATTTCATTGACTTAACCATTTTTTTTTACAGGACAAACATCTGAAAAACTTAAGATATGTTACTGATTTAGAGAATCACAGATTGCTATAAAGATTCTTACTTATAGTAGGGAGAATATACGTCTTAGTAAAATACTAAAGATCAAACATTATAGGCTATTCGAGTGATCTCTACATATGTTACTTTTTACAAAGCTATAATTCCTGTATCATATTGTATAGAGTTTGCAAATAGCCTACCAAAAATATGAAAAGTTGAGGTTAAAATATAGCTGATCAGTAATGGCTTGAAGACTGGTTTCGATCTTGATGAACTAGCTGAAAAATGAACAGTATTAAAAACAATCTCAAACCAGTCGAAGTAAAAATATATAATAATAATAAAAATAAATAAATTGTCCAATAATGAACTGAAATGCTTGATGATAATGTTAATTAAAATGATAATATTCCAATTAATATATATATACATATATATTTATGTAAATGAATGCATAATGACAGACAAAAAAAAATAAAATTTTGATTAAAATATAAATTATAATATAAATATAACATTTGAAAGTATTTAAAAAATTCAAGGAAAGATAAATAACCACAGAATTGAATAAATAATAATTATTTGTAATAATTATAATGTGATAGGATCAATATGTTACATATGAAACTTTATATTAGTAAAAATAAAAATAAAAATAATTCACCTGAAAATTTTCTTGTCGCTTAAATATTATAAAATGCATTTAAAGTTTAAGTTTATTTAATAAGATCTAATTCTCAAAATAATTCAGAAATAACTAAATACCAAACATGATATACTTAATTATATCACAATTTGTCATTTTATTATATATAAAAAATACCGTAAGTCAATTAATTTTTTAAGTTAATTAGCTTCAATTGTAAAGTTCTATATAATATTTATTATAAAAGTCTTGTAAAGTTAAAGTTGAGGTTTAGTGTAGTTGACAGTAATCACATGACTTCAATACTGTAAAGTCATAAGTACCAACGAGAGAAATATAATATATAAGATGAAATATGTTATTTTTAATGAGAATTATTTTACCAAGAACAAAAGAATTAGTAACAGTATTTCAAAATACTATGATGTTTGATGTTTTAGGTGTAGGAGAAGGTTGGCGGATATTGTATTTATAATAATAATTATAACTATATGAATGTGTTAGTTATAAGATCCTATCCTATCATTATTTAGCTTTAAAATTCGTTTTACTAATAGATTCCATTTAGGTGTTTTAAAAAGGCAGACATCAGGTCATGTAATATTATAAAAGTCTTTATAAATAAACATAAAGTTGCCTCTATATCTGACCAATTGTTCAATATAAATTAAAAAGAAATTCTTTAGGGAATTAGCATACTTTCTATAATCTATTGTAATAATATCAGAAATAGGTGTGCTACTACCAGTTATAATGTTTTGAAGAAAATCAGAAATAACAAGATTGATGTTGACTTTATTAAGAGTACTTAGAAGTGAGAGGAACCAATTATCTGATACTAAAGAAGTTTTAAATGACTAATAAGACAAAGGGTTTTAAAGAGCCATGCTTAGTTTTGTAACTAAAGTAAGCGAAAATAGAAAGTCTTACCCAAAATATTAATTTTATTAGACATTTGAAATAAAGTGTTACTAAAGTTTTGTAATAGATGTTGAATAGTTGAGTTAAATTATAAAAGTAATTGGAATAAAAAATATCTGATGGTATATATTTGGAAAGTTTAATTTTTATTTTACAAAGGCTAAATATATAAAACAATCTTTTGCATTGCAACTCAGAAGGTAACGTAAGCTGAGACTTATATTTAATACAGGTAATATTATAATATTGAAAATATATACAAGTTGTGATTTTGTGAGTTTTGTATTCTTTATAATTACAGTAGCTTTTTTAATTTCATTATGAAATTGAATGTTAATAAACTTCTAGTTTGGTAGGAGTGATATCTAAATACCTAAATATTTAACATTTTTTTAGAATTGTGAGAAGTAATAGCCTAAAGGTCTTCATCATATTGGATGATAAACAAAGATACTTGTGAAGTATTAACAAATAGTTCTGATTTGATCTAATTAATTTGAATGTCATTGAATGCTAAGAAACTGTTAGCTATTGAAGTAATACCAGTAAAATCTGCTTTAGAATTAGTAATTCACAAAGTATCATATATAAAAGTAAAAGCAAGAATTCTTTATTTATAGTTATTGTATTGAAAAAGCAGATATCTGATCTTTATTGAGCTTTTTTATACTGTAATTCATTGATTTTACAAAGAAGTAGGTCATAATATATACACTAAAGTAAAGACGATATGACTTTACTTTAATCAAATATCTGAATAAACTAAGTATATATCAGTATTACCATATACTGTGAATATTTGATTGAATCTGAGAAGAAAAATTCACATGATAATACAAATGAAAGCAAACAAAATCTTAAGTCTTTTTAGAACTTTTATTAATATAAAGATATTAACACAATCATATGTTTTAGATATATCTTGCAAGAGAACCCAAAGGTCAGATTTATTGTAAAGAGAGTCATGAATAATGTTATCAATTATATATATATAGGATCAAAGGTTGATTTGAAAGGAAGATCTATAAAGTTATATCTTTTTAGAATATTATATTAAATAAAGATAGTGGCTAAATAAGCATTGAATAATTTGATAATACCTTTCTAGGACTTTCAAATAATATAATAGGTCTAGTATTATTAAGATTATATTTTTAAGATTTTGGCATTGGGATTTGGTAAATATAGGCTAAATTCTAATATATTAAGATTGATGAGATTTGTAAATATCTACAAATAGGTTAGTATATACAAAAATTATGCTGCAAAATTTTTTTATCAATATTAGAAATTTTATTTATATAAATCATTATCACCTTATCTATTTATAATATAATTTTTATGGCTTATTAATTTAATAAAATAATATAAAATAATATAAAATAATATCAAATCTAAAAATCTAAATTTAGATTTTGTATGATTAGTAATTTCTGAATTGTTAATTTAATTTCTATTTCTATATAATAAATTTAGGAGTTTTTTAGGAATTTTTGGTAATTTTTATTTAATTTTATTTAATTTTAATATTCGTAACTATAATCATAAAGAATAAGTAATATTAATAATAAAAATAATTTTTTAAATAAATATATTAATCAAATCATTAAAATGCTTACTTATTTTCTTTATGTAAGATCAAAGATAAGTCTTATAGAGGAAGAAATAAATTTTTTTATTTAGTTAATTAAATTAATAAATTAGTATTACTTATCTTATTCCTTTTATAGGTGTTAGAATCTCAGATTATTCAAAATTCAAAACAATTTCTATAAAAGGGAAAGGTAATATTAATAATTAATAAATTAATAATTTACTTACCTTTTTCTATTTTGTAAATACCAGAAACCTTGGTTTAATCAGATCTAAAGTAAATCCTATAAAGGGAAAAGGTAAATATTATTTTATTAATAAATTATTTAAATTAAACAAATTAATAATTTTATTTACTTACCTTTTTTATTTATAGATACTGAAAACCTTAATTTAATCAGATCAGAGGTGAATTTCATGAAAGGAAAGGTAAATATTAATAAATTAATAAATAATTTAAATTTAAATAAATTAATAATTATTAACTTATCTTTTTTCATTTGTAGGTATTGAAAACTTTGATTTAATTAGATTGTAAACGAATTCTATTAAGAAAAGGGTAAATATTTTATAATTAATTAAATTTACAAATAAAAAAATTATTAATATTTACTTATCTTTTTCTTTTTATAGGTGTTAGATTAATCAGATCGAAGATGAATCTTATAAAGAAAAATGGTAATTTTTTTTAATCAATTAAATTAACAAATTAATAAATAATCATTTTTTCCTTTTTGTAAATGCCAAAATTCTTAGATTGATCAAATCAGGAGATGAGTCCTATAAAAAGAAAATATAAATATTAATAATTTAATAATTAATAAATTAATAATTTATTTACTTTTCCTTCAGATGCCAGAATCTTTAGATTGATTAAATTAGAAAGGCTTTTAATAATTTTTATTATTTGAAATCGTTCTTTTTTATATAATTAAATATTTATAGTTAAATCTTTTTTAGATTATATTTTTTTTTAATATTATAATTATTGTTTACATATATAAATATAAATAAGTTATCATTTTTAAAAATTTTAATTTATTAAATTTTTAATAAAATTTATCAATGACTAAAAATGTTTTATATACAAAAAAATTTAAATATCTTCATTATTACTATTACTAGTAGAAAAAGGGTATAAAATATCCTTAAATTCTTTATCAATATACTGATAAATTTTGTTATACAAATACTATTGACATTTTAATGTCAAAGGTTAAGTATTAAGAATCGAAGGAAGTTGATTGAAATTATAATTATTATTTAAAAAAGAACAAATGGAACTTCTTCACCTTCCAATTCTTAAAAACAATAAACTTTGCCTAATTCTAATTTAGAAAATCAAAAATGATAATATTTTTTTATTCCTAGAAGTCCTTTAAAATGTGATAAAAGAAATGATATAAAATTACATCAAATTCAATCTGATCCTTTATTATATCTTACTGCTTAAT